AACGCTGCATAGCAAATATGAAATTAGTGGTGGAGAAAGGAGCTTACCCTTAAATAGTAAGGATTCGCGGGTTTTTGCTGGCCAATTTTGAACAGTTTCGTTACAATATTGGAATATTGACTCAACCGGTGTCTTGTATCCCAACAATCCGCAAACCACGACATGGGAATATTCAATGAGCAGGTCCAAAGCGACCAGAATCCAAATACAGGCCGAAGAGTCATGTCTCTCCTTTCGCCAATTCCTATTGATGGTATTCGGCGGTCTCCACTCTCCCGGGTAAATGCTGCTGTATAACTGCATCCTAAAATTGATGAAAAAAGCTTATAAGAAATCTGTTCGAGTTTTCTTAAGGTATAATTTAGTAGTTACATCGTTAAAGCCGTTCTATATCACCACACTCAATAGATTGTGCTTCACAAATAGCATCTTCCCACTGGATTGATTCTTAGAGAATTTGCGTACCCCACTCACACTTTTCTTTTTCCAACACGCATGACAAAACGAACGCCTACATCTTTCTTAATTACTGACAAACTACCATCTCTCGTGTTCAAGTAGGTCTGTTACTGCGATTCTTAACGATTCAACTTATCAGAGAACTGAATTCATAGTCATGGAAAATAAGCCATAAGAGTTTCTAAAGATGATGTCTCGAGCGTTAGCCCTTTGTTCATTAAGTGCAGTACTATTATTTTCTTGATGCTTGCAAGAGCTTGATTATGTAATCATTTTCGAATTCAGAAGCACTCGTTGTAAAATTTGATATACGACGCGTGTATGGCTGAAATCGTTTATTGTCATATCTTCTCTGGTGTCATATCTGTAGTTTTATTTTCACTACTTTTAAGGATCTGTCTATCCAGTTGGTCAATTGCAGTGTGTAGAATTGTTTGTTTCATTTGGCAGGTACTTAATTTGCTCGTTTCTCTCTCCACTTTTATCATACTGACTAAGGGTATTTCGCAATGTCATGAAGCAGATTTTTCTACTTTAGAAACTTGGTTCAATATATCTGGAACTTGTACCTCCAGTTTCGCGGCTTTTTGCACCGGGGAAAATGGCACGATAGAAGCAAAAATGGTTCTCATAGATTAACACTAATGTTAATGCTAATGTACACTATTAATGTAAGAGGTTCGCTTGATGTAGCCACAATTATTCATTTGTGGATACTATTTGGTTTATATTCTTTCAGATTTAATATAAGAAAGACTGTACTTTGTTTTGTCGATTTCCAATGACAACGAAACCCAAACTTGAACCCAATATCAAGTGATTTATGGCTGTTGATCATCTTGATAAAGATTTATCCGCCATGCTGCTTGTCTACGTTAATTTATATTTTGCTTTCTAAAAAAAGGTGTTTACGAGTTTACACTGTTGCATAGTTGAAGTAAGTTCCTGGCGTACGAGCCAAATAATACAGCACTAGAGAGTTAGAAATGTTAGAACATTTTTCAGCAATGAATTACGAGCTAAAAAGTTATCAATATAATGTTAACCATAACCATCAAGAATGGCTCACAGATATTGACACGCAGTAAAACATGATATCGATCTTAGCATCGGACCAAATCGTTATTCCCTAAGAAAGCATAGGATGGTAGTTTTTAAGAGGCGAGAGGATTTTTTTAGGTGAAATTCCCATTGAACATAACTGATAATTACTCTTGTTTTTCTCGTAAAATTCATCCTAGTCTCATCAAAGTGCTGAAAAAATCTAAATGATACAGAAGCAACTTTGTGAAATTTGGTTTCTCTTGTAACTAGAACTCTGAAATGTGCTGTATTTCGAAATCATAGATTATCTTTTAACAAATTTTCTATTACAAATTTTGTTGAGAAAAAAAATCTCTCCCGTTATAAATTGTATTGTGTTATAAAAAATTCAAAGTCAACTCGCCCTCGCTTGTCATAAATCAGAATGGCGCCAAATTTGTTACTTCCATCATCTGGGTTCCACGATTATTGTTCTCTAGGAATAGCGTGTTACTCCTCGTTCCTCGAAAAAATGAATTAAGTAGACACCTCATCTTGTCTTAAAAAGACAGCATTCTAAGGAAAATAATTTTTTCGTGCTGTATTGAGCCGCTCAACAGGTTTGAAATTTGCTTACAATTGAAATCCTTATGTCTGGAGAGATTTGTTTTCGTGACGCACTCTGCGGGTGCAAAAAGAGAATCCAGCAAATCTTAAAAAGCGCAACCTTTTTTTAAGATACTTACGTTGTACCAAAAATAAGTTCAAAAGTCACGGGAGTTTTGAAAAAATTTCTAAGCTCACGTCAATACAAAATTTTTGAGGCAAAGACAATTTGGAATTTGCAAGTAACCTTAGAAAAGCCGCAACAATCAAGCGCCTTACAGAAAAATACCTCACTTGATTTGAAGGACAGTTATTTGGCTTAAGTAATCGTCAATTTTTTAAAGAATGTTGTGGACCATGTTCTTAAACGAATTTTACAACTTTAGTCACACAGACATCGAGATATCAGTATAAAAAAAAGAATTGTTAATTTTTGCTCCCTTGAAATCGCGTCCATAGGTTTTGTGAAGATAAGTAAATTGAAAGCTAACCGACAAGGAATGGTATGGGGAAAAGAGTTTAAAGTGCCGCGTTGGTTTTGAGCGAAAAAGTTTTTGTTTTAGCAACATTGCAAAAAATCTGCGGGTTTTCAAAATGCCTTAAAATTGATGAAAGATTGATTGATGAGCCCAATTCCAGTCACCAAGTCTCCATTGTCGACCCTTCTTTTTCAATAGTGCACAAAAAGTAGCTTCAGAGAAATACGTTTTTCGTCTTGTCACGAGCGAGGGACAAAGAAAAAATTCTGAGTCCCCATGACGCTATCGAAATTGCTGATCCTAGCAGTATGCAGGACGCGTATCATATGAACTTCGTAATAGATCTCGCTCACCGTAGAGTCTGTGGCTCAGTGGTAGAGCATCGGAGCGCGGAATCCGAAGGTCTGAGGTTCGTTTCCTCATAGGAATTCATAATTTTTTTCTTTGCTCCACGCTCGTGACAGGACGAAAAACTTCTTTCTTTATTTCTTCACCGAGTTCAAAACTTACCATTTCTCTTATTCTAAAAAAGTAGCTTTGTTTCTGAGTTCATTTATAAGAACCCAACAATTTTGTACCAGATAGTTTGACTGTATTTTCTTACCCCGGTAGTAGTGGCTTCTGCCTTGTGCATTTGGGAGACAAGACCATTTTTTTTGGTGAAACATAAATGTAGCATTCCTGCCAGGACACAAACAGGAGCATTTTTTGCGTCTCCGGTTAAAAGCACCCAATGTTTTGCATCTGACGGCTGGATTTGGGCCTTTTGGATTACACACTGAAGATGGAATATCAAACGAGTCTCTGCCATTGCTTCGCCTCAAAATCTCGAAGCTTTGTTCCAATGTAAAAGTGACGAAACATTGGCATATCAGAGCCAAGCATAATGTCTTCATTTCTGAAGGTTGAAAACCTTTGTTCCGAATCAAACTGCTTCCTTTTTGTCCAAAGCGACTCCGTGCTCTCAGTCAAGTTCTATAATATAAATGATGTTGTTGTTAGGAAGTATAAACGCATATCGGTTTCAAGTTTGCATCAAACTTTTTTCATACACGAAATCGAGAACTCCCAGTCGAATTAAGCCTCGATAACCGTTCCCTTTGTGATGCTTGGGCAAAAATGTGCAAGTTCTACTTACCAATTACCCTGCGTTACTTCCCAATGTCAGACTCCCGGCTAATAGCAGACTTGTGGATGTAGAATTGCAAATCTGTTGAAGCGGAGACAAAATTCTTGAGAGTTTTAACAAGTCGACCTCTATCAAACAACTGATATTTTTCCTTTACAAACACAAAGCTCGGCATTTGACTCCACCATCATTTAAAATGGTTAATCACCACATTTAATCACCAAAAAGATCCATAATATCAACTGACAAGCAATAATGGTAATTAGTTACAATTTTCGTTTTTTTAGTGAAAAAAAAACCAAATAATTTTTATGTGTTCTTAAGAAATTCCGTGGTCATGTTTTGAATAAATCTTTCAACAGCACTATAGCCACTAATTTTATATAGATATTAACAGACCTCTATAAGTTATAGTATCTCATTTTTATCAAAGACCATAAATTCTGATGAATGATATTCTCACCCTCGATCTTATCTTGTTGATGGCTTTTGGACAATGAGGGATCTTTTAATTAACCAACGACAAGGGCTCTTTTCTACGACTCACTTCTTAATTACAGGGATCGAATATTTCTAATTATAGTTGTTCCAAACTCGCAGGAATCACCATATTGCACCGCTAACTAATTATTCCTTTGTATCGCATCAACTTGTTCCTTCCGAAATACTTAAAATATCAAGTGTTTTCTTTTTGTCTTTTACTTTTTACTTTTGTGCTCTTGCATAAATGCTGTCCTAAATCTAAGAGAGAGATTTCTCTTTATGATGAAGTCACCTGGCGTGGCTATATGTTCTTACGGGAACATTCAAGAGGACTTTTCTAGATTTTTTTATACACCGAATTAGACAGGAGTAAGTTAAACTTTGCTATATTGTATGTAGTACAAACATTTCGCCATCATTTGTATAGAGGGGATGTATTTTTCAAGGTCATATTTCATGACCTTTTTGTATATACATGGTTTAAAAGAAGCGATTTTAAAACATTCTTTCCTTTATATTCAATTCTGGGACAAAATGAATGCTGGCGTAGCCTGCATCTTCTATTCAGAACTCATCGTTGTTATTTCTGTCAAGTTTTTTTTAACGAACGTTAATTGAGAAATCGAAGAATACTAATTACGTGATGCCAACTTTCACGGTGTGGATACAAGACCCTTGAAACTCGCCCGATGCGAGGGTCTTGTTTTCAAAGCAAACTTTGAAAATTGCACTGAGCTTCACTGACTGAGTTTCAGAAAAGTGTTTGTGAGCGCTAAGCCTTTTAAGGGATGTTCAAAGTAACAATCAACAAGGCATTGATCATCATTTAGGTTAGTCGCTCTTATTACTTAAAACACCGTATTTCATGTTTTTAGCTGAAGGCAAGGCTAAATCAACATACAGCCATTAAAATTAGCTGCGGTATAGTAATTTTGCGTACATTCACTAACTGACCTCCAGAGTCTGATAGACAAAACAAATTCGTCTAGTTTGGTTAATTGATTTAAATTGTTTTCCTCCAAACTACGACTTGAACGTCGTTTAAGCCATTAATTATATTTAAATTGAAGGATGGAGTTCTCATATGATTTAATGCTGTCTCCATCAAGCTAGCGCATAATTATGATTTGCACATTTATTCATCTGTTTTTTCATTATTAACATTGTCAAAGTACTGGTTCCACTAAGGAAACCTCGCCATTTATCATTGATTCTTGCATTATGGAATAATGGTCATAACTCTCTACACGGTAGATGTATTTCAGCTTCCGACCACAGACAGCTCAATTAGTAGACAAGAAAGACGTCTTCTGGTGTCCATTAATAGGCTCATTTCCACTGCCAAATATGTTTGTGGGTAATTGATTCTCAGTGGTAAAGTGTAATATCCGTAAATTTTAGTAGGTTGCACTCGGCATTCAAAAAGGCCTTCCAGATAATTGTTATGCACTACTATCATCTGAATTACAAGCTGCCCACCCAATTCCTGGGTCCCTCTCCTCACTAATCAAAGACACCTTAGAACGAAACCATGCTTGGGAGCAACGAACCCTCTAATATCTTCCCCCATTTTAACTTGTTGATGCATATTCATTACTCGTCAAAATATAATTTATTATAAATACTATATGTGAACAACCATATTTATTGTGTGTTGTTTATGTTCCCTTCACGAGACTCTTCTTCAATAGTAGTGTAGATTGGCTCGTATGTACCTTCGGAATTATCTTTCACTTGAATATCATAAAGCTGAGATTCTTCCACAGTGCTGTAAATGGGCTCATCTATAGCTAAAGACAAAGGACCATAATAACTTCGTTCTTCTGCGCTTTCAGCATACGGTTCTTCTAACACGTTGTACACAGATTGCACACCGTGAAGTTTGGCAGATCCCTCTAATTCGTTATCAACTGTCCCTTTCGTTGACATAAAACCATAGTTGACATTTCCTATAGCAACTTCTGAGTAAGGTTTCACCGACACATCGTCCACTGGTTGAAGATAATCATCAGGTCCCTCGACAGATCCCTGGAAAGGGACTGAGGATTGCACCTCCCTGACACTATAGTCGCAATAGTCTATTCGAAAGGGACCATGTGGCCAACTCTTGATATCAGTTGCATCGTAATAATATGAAGCTCCTGAGGCATTATGGGCTGTTTTCTGGTTGCTCTTAGGTCCATAAAAGTTTCGCTCCTTTACAATGTCTACAGATTCGTATACGTGGTTTTCACGAAAATCACCATCGGCAGCTGGTTGTGCAGCTCTGCACTGAATTAGCATTTGATAGACTGCTGTAAGATACGTTGAAAAAAATCATCACAAATAGAGGTATGAACTGCTTTGAACCGGTGACCGTTAGTATCTTAGCTCTTAAAGCTGTCTTAAGACAGCTAAAGATAATACAATTAACCTGATCCTCACGTAAGGCTCTCTAATGTTCTCATAATTCCCCCCTCCCCTTCATTGACCTTTACTGGCCGTCAATTTTTTTTTGTCCTCCCTTCATACTCTGTTGTCGATGACTGATCCCTTGTCCGTTTCCCCTGAAAACCATGTGATCCTCCCACAAAAATCTCCCCCTCCCCTTCCAGCGGTAAATACCGACTGGTCACCGATTGATCTTGTTTTTGTTATAGTTGACGTCATTCTTTTTTAAGGCGCGTTGAGTTCTTTTGTGTTTCTCTATTTTGATAATTGTGTCTAGTGCTAGTCGCTTCATAACAGAAAGTTTTTATTCCGGTCGCCATGATTGTTGTTAGTTAAGAAATCAGTTATTTACCTGGCTCTCTCAACTCGAGTTCTTTGTAAACGTTTTCATCATCAATTTCCGGCTCGTACGCTGAGCTTGTCTCACCGTTCTCTACAGCTGTTTCCTACAATTAATGTTGTAAGGGCGAAATAAGGAAAAGCTTTTTAATACCTATGCAATCTGGCTAACTGTAAAAAAATTTCTGCAGAAGGCATTCGAAAGAAACTTGCCTTGTTTTCGACGGTTTCACTTTTCGCGCAGAGGTTCATGCTGTGGAAAAAATATTTTGGCAGTTGAAACAGTTATCTAGGATGAAATCACATTTCTTCTTCTAAGAATCGTAGATGAATCTTTCGCAAAAAGTAATATCCAATCCAGTGTCGCAAATTTCGCTCACGGTGGCAACGCGCATGGACCCCTACTACTATGTCTTAACTCCCTCTGGAATGAGGGTTCTTGAAAAGGCTAGATCCGTTGAAGAATTGTTGCGCAAAAAGGTATAGACATTGCTGTGTAGCTAAAAAGCATAGTATGAAATTTCCAGCGGATATACTATCTGTCATGTAATTATAATTAACTTACCCTGAATAGAAACGCCGGTAAACCAATATGACGATAACGAAGACAATAACCAAAATTAAAGAACTAAGACCGGCGATGAGGGTAATGGATGATGAAATTTTATCGATTCTCTGCTCACGGCTAGGATTTGGATAGACAGTAGCCTGATGGGGAAATAGATAATAACTCTTGTCAATGGAACGAATCGTCGTAGTCGCATCTGAAACTTTCATGCGTCCAAATTTGTATTTACCTCTTTTATTTTCTCATTCACGTAATTTTTTCAACGGGTAATGAACAAAAAGGGGAGCGAACAATTCATTTCGGACCATGGACAAAAGGTCAGTAAGATGATTCCTTTATTAATGCTTTTCATTTTTGGGGGGTACTGTAAGAAACAAAAAAAACAAAAAAACAAAAAGAGCGAAAGGCAGCCGCGTAGCCAGGATTTTACAAGGGGGAGGGGTCAAACTGTGTCATACAGAGGGTACTCACCAAATTTTCATGTCGACCTCCATGCCATGTGTTACTTAAAAAAGCCTTCAAAAGGGGGTCACGGGCACCCCCACTCCCTTCAAGCTACGCCCTCGAAAAGGAAGTAGAATGTGGGATACGTTCGCTATATAAGCCCAAGGACTACTTGCGATTAGAGACAATGTCAAGTTACTCACCTTTAGTATAGCTTTCGTGTCCTTTTTAGGTGTTGCTGTTGTAGTTACTGTTGACTTTGATGTTGTGGTTGCTTTAGTATTCGTTTTCAAAGTTTTAGCCTTTGCTGTTGACGTTGTTTTTGTAGCCGCTGTTTTTGAAGTGAAAATGTTTCGCAGAGACTTGGTTGAGACCATAGGTTGAGAGGTTGGTGTTGATAACGAACCTAAAAAGAGCACATATATTCAAGAATAGAAAGATATATTTGGTATATGTGAGTGAGTCTTGTGCGATTATCTCAGATTAACATTTTTTAGGTACGTTTAAATATGGGCTGATTTGACCTTCTAAATGTGGACTGATATTGATCTTTAACGGATAATTACTGAGTCTCGCAGCTTTATATTCAAAAGTGATGTGAGCCTCAATAATCACCTATTTAATTTTATTTAATATTAACTGAGCGAAAAAGTAAAACGGTACCAGTTTATAGCGAACCCACTCCAATATTTAAAATATTGCCGCAAGCAGATTGCGATATCAAAAATATTGCCGCAAGCACTGCTACAATATCAAAATATTGTAGTACAGCCAGCCCACTGCAATATTGAGCGTTTTAGCTGGTTTAAGATTACCCACGACAATTTTCCTCCTAATAACAAGATCCCGCCTCCGTTTTCCTCAGAAACTTGGACTAAACTGAATTCATATACCTTCTCAGGCTGACACCGCCGATGTAATGCAGAGAGCGAACAATAGGATACTATGAGGGTTACTCATTATTTAGTACTATTGAACCCCTCGCTAGGCAATTATTGTAATCGACTGAAGCTTAAAAGAAAGCTAAGAAATAGAGTTACTAAGTAAGAAATTGTACTTTCTTGGGCACTACACTGTATATAATATTTCTACGTAAATTAAAGAAAAACGGAGCTTACAATTCACTTTGCCCTCGTACTTAAACAGCAGCATTAATGTGCTCAGGGGATTTTTTGCATTATCAGTGCACTGAATACCAAGCTTGATAATTCTTCCGTTCAATAAATCAGCATTCGATGAGCCACTGTTCACCTGTAGACAGACAAAGAAAGGCAATATAACAGATGGATTAAAATATGACTATCATTAAAAAAAAGGGGATTTCACGCAGGTGGAACAAGTATTAGGTTGTTTAATCAGCTTTGATCCCCAGATTTCGTGCAAAGCAAGAAACTTTTCAATCTTACTGGCTACAGCTAATGCGTTAATGTTCCGTAACGCACAATATTTTCATGTGACGATACATTTTGCTTCGATCATCTTTCCATCGAAGGCCTACGCCGTTTTGATAATGAATAATATTGCGGCTTTCTTTCCGAATAAAGATTACCTTCCAGCAAAGGTTTGATACGTAAGGCCAGGGTTGCTTTATAATCTTAAAGGCGGATAGATTGATTTGAGAAAGATCAAAGGGTCTATTTCAATTTGATCCTATTTTATTTCATCAATCAAGTTCGTTTAGCGTATTTCTGGCCGCGAAAATACTACTCTAGATGTATTACTTAAAAACGCTGGTTCTGCCTGCGATGATACAACACACAAATACGTAACCGCTAAATCAAGTGGTCATTTTTAATGTTAACGCATTAAACCACAGGTAACCCAAGTTCGCACGATAACCCTCCGTATATACCTAATTACGTTTATGTCGCATGATAGGCGAAATATAAGGACTTTTATGGAAACCACTTGCTTCTCACCTTCAGAAAATAAGGAAAATTGTGATGGTATCTTCTCTCTATGGTAAACAGCTGCAGATCACCCATTAATGGAATCTCAGAACCGTTGCATGCAATATACCAAGATTTATATTTGTCCACACCGCAATTAAACCAAAACCACCACACTTTCACTCTTCTGAACTCACTATTCGTGAGCATGCGTAATGCATCCTCATGGCCCTCGTTCTCGAAATGGACGGTATTCTGTCGTGTGTATCCTACGAAAGAATAGATTAATGCGGGCACTTTTTACATTTGAGTTATTGAATACACAGATTAGCTGAGTGGCAATTTTATACCGAGAGGAGAAATATAGTTACGACGGGGTGTAAAGGCTTATGAAGACTAATAAACCAATCCTAACGTCCACAAATTTCGGAAAACCGGAATAAAGTCTTCATTACGCTGCAATTATTTCGTTGGAGAACATATCCGGGGGCGTAATCATTGAAGCTCCTTATTCAATATATTGTGGCAGTATTTTTTTTTACCATTGCAACAATATAAAATTTTAAAAAATTTAAAGGGTTTTGAGTTCTTGTTAAATAAGTTACGTTTGAGAGTCTTGGACAGGGAGACGGTCTATTGATGTTTTTCAGAATTGTTATCGATTAGGGGCAGCTGTTACCCAATACTGTTAGTGGAATAGTTATGATAAATTATTCCTATTTTTAGGCTTTTTATGAACATCAGAGCAGATTTATATCACACAAAACGAAAAGACTGTCTACAATTTGAATTAGGGTGTGTTGGTTCGTAGTCTAAGTAAATAAAGTAATAAAAAGAGATTTTAAGAATCAAGAAGAATGAATGATAAGGCTGAAACAAAAGTATGGTTTATACCGCTGACTACATAACTGTTATTTCAAACTTGTTTTTAGAGAAGTTACTAACTTTAAATATATTACCTATCTTAGTTAAGATTATCTCTACTGAAATAATCGAAAAAATCGTTTTGTTATGAACTCACCTAGCAGTTTACGAACGTGAGAATTTTGTCGGCATCTCCACTCATCGTTTTCGAGTATTAATGTGCCATTCTCGTTGGAGCATGAACAAGTAAATTGGTCGCCACCATGACTAATCTCGTCAGCATTGAATTTTGCACAATTCACAGTCGTGTTGTTCCCACCGTACTGAGTAGACAAGGATGGTTGAATTTTAAAGAAATCTCTGCCTTGCGTCCATCCATTCCTTCCTTTTGGTCTTACCCTGGTGATATCGAGCTCCGTTGATTTTATAATGGTAATAAAGGAGGTCGCAATAATCACGATTTTCGTAATATTGAATAGTTTCATCTTTCTTCACTAATGAACACCGTTTGCTTGAAATCTTGAAATTAATCTGATCGTAAAAAGGTTCAACTTTTTTTCTTGTCGACGTCAGAAAACTCAATGTGACGTTTCCTTAGTCGCTTGACGTGTCACATTTCCTCTCATAAAGTTAATTTTTCCCCCTTACACTTCGACGTATGGTCTTGTTCAACTATAAATATCTACTGAATTGCTTCGGCTGAATCATAAAATCATGTCATAATGCGTGCAGAATTTACGTGTCTATTGAACCACGCCAAGTGCTCTCATCTTTGTTGACGTCTCAATTGTTTGTATATTGTTTCTCTGTTAGCTTTCGGCAATTGCTTTGTTGCTATTCCTCAAATAGACTTAAACCAAAGCAAAACTGGAAAGGTAATCGTTCCAATGAACTTTAAATAGGACTCATGAACATGCCTGTATTTGGCGTTAGCAAAACAATTCTTTTACCGCTAGTTGGTTCCTCACTGTTTTGTGGGAGATATATGTGTTAACCTTAAAGTAGCTTTGATATAGCTAAGTTTAGCTAATTTGATTGGCTGAGACTGAGAAGCAACTAGAACTAAGTTTAGCCTGAGTAAATCATCATAGTTAAATTCAAAACAAAAGTATGGGACTTTTGTTTTCGAATCATTACTTGAACTGACTATGATTTATCATAATTTGATTTAGAACAAACGCATCGGAAGTTTATTTACAATCATCACTGATACGAAAATAACTTGGCTATTAAGAAAGTTAAGGAAGTTAAGAACTGACTATTTTGGTGCCTCTGCAGCAATACAAATGCCGCCTTTTGAAAATTAGATAAAATGACTGAGAAATGATAAAACTAGAACAATCACAGAGTATATCGCAAAATAGTTTGTGGTTAGTCATCTTGGTAAATAAAACTTTGAAAGAGGTTTAAATATTTCTCCTTTAAAATCAAGGAATACTGGTAAACAAGTCGATAAAAGTAGTATTGGATAATTTTATTTAACTGATTATTATATATTATAAGAACTATATTATTATAGGGGCTGCGTCTCACCACGGGAAAATTTCTAACAAGCTACTTAATCTTTCTAATTTTCTCATCAGATCGTTCTTAATACTTAACCAATTAACCATCTTTGGGATATGAACACCCTATTTTCCAAAATAATCATTTCAAATCTAACAGTGCATATTTTAAAATATTTAAGGAATTATTCTTTTTCAGTCTGACCTCCTTATTATTTCTAAGCCATTTCATGCACATAGCTGGCCTGTTTATTTACACTCTCAGACTCTAGATTTTGCTCGAGTAAGAAACAAAAGTATAACTGGAAGCTACGATCGACTCATAAACATTATCTACCAGATAATTTTCTATGTACCGACTGCAATGATTTTTATAATTCCCTTTTCTTTTACTTGAGTACTAGCATGGCATACGAAGCAAGGAGAGCTTTTTTTCTAGAGCCATGACTACCGCCTTCAACAAAAACGCTTTTAGGAAGTATCCTCTTCAACAATATCGTAAACTGGCTCAGTCGTAAATTTCAAGTCATCTGCTTTTTCTCATGAGATATTTGGATTGGATTGTTCCAAGGTATGACGGATTGGTTCTTCTGTAGACACAGCACTAGGATGGAGAGGATCCTCTGCACCTTCAGGAGCCTCTAAAGTGTTATATACAGGGTCATTGTCATCATCACCAACAGGTTCCTCCAATGTGTTATAAACGGGCTCTTTAGGACCCGTGGTACGATATTGAATCGATTCCTCCACATCTTTAAGATATGGCACCTCAAGATTTCTTTGTGTAGGCAGGGTACCGTCGTCAAAGCAGTGGGCAGTCTCTTCCAAAGTGCTGTGGACTGGTTCGTCGGAAGACACAATGCCGTACTGGCCAGGTCTGCGAGAAACGTCACGGCGTGGTTCCTCAAAACTGTTGTGCACCGGTTGGGCAACATTGAGTTCCTCTATGAGACTATAAACAGCTTGATCTTTACTCATGGGGCAATTATCCTGGTCGTCTCTATGGCCATATACACTTGGTCCCTCAGAAATGTTCAAGGAAGCGTATATGTGTTCTCCATTAGAACTATCATTATTTTCTGTTTCACCGCTTAAATGTGCCTCTCTATCGGAAACAGGAGCTTGATAGCTTGATGCAAAAACAGCTAAAACAAAGTTTAAAAAATAAATTGGTCAACGCTTCCAGAAAATGCAGAGATTGAAAATGAAACTATTTCATGATCATTTCCCGCAATCGATCCCGAGTTGGCTGAATTCCTTAATTTTAGGATCATTTTCCTCTATCTCATCTATGTTTCGACTTATTTCTCTTCACCAACGATGACGCGCCAGATCACGCCAATAATGACGAACCAGTGTACTTTTGACCTCGTTGCCTGACGAAGACTGACAATATTGCGGTTGAAACATCGCGATTAACACAGTTGAGCTGATTCGCGGGGGATCAATATCAGTATCTGAGCAACTACCCACTTACCCCTTCCCCGAATCCAACATTAACCCTAACTTGTTATCAATTGACTGTTGCTGGGTTGGGGGAGGGGTAGGTGGGCAGTTGCCCAGATACTGATATTAGTCCACAGTCAATAGCCTGTCTCTACATCGTGAGACAAACGATAAGCTTTTCACCACAACATTTTCATTAACACTTAACAACTGGTTCATATGTCATATCGAGATATGAAGCACGCGGGAAGTTTGGAGAAAACGAAAGATGCGTAAACTCTAGCTTCTTGATTGCTCTCCAAACTTCCCAAGTGCTTCATATCTCGATGAACGCACAGATGACGTATTAACCAATTGTTTTATAACATTTTCAATCCGAAGGAATATTTTTTTCTCGAGAGATTAGTTTGCTGACGTCATGAGCGTGCACAATAAGAATATGAAGCACGCTCGCGCAATCGAATTTGATGAGACAAATTTACTAGCTATGTTATAATTTCTCTTGTTTTAATCCAGTAGACAAGTATAATCACGAAACGCTTTTTTCCAAATTACAGATGTACAACGGTTGTTATATTCTTCATTCTTGATATTCAAAGCACTTTTCGATTACCGTATCGGTGATGATGCCTTCACTAACCTGGTTCCCTGTAAGCAAGTTCGGTTAAACCATTTTCATTATCAGTTCCATTTTCCGGATCTGCGCACGGTGTTTCTGTTTCCTGAAAAAAAATTTGAATAAGGAGTGAAAAAATAGAAAATTTTCAACCAGAATAATGTCTTTATTGGTACCTGTCTGTCGTGGCTCTCTCCCTTAGGATGAGGGTCCCTCCTATCAAAGACATAAATGACATAAAGAAAAAAATTGAAAACAAAAACTATTAATTTTACAGTTCATGAGACTTTCAACAATGACATTTTTTGTCTTTTATACCCTTTAAAATTTTGACTCACTTACTTTAAATATTGGCGTCGATAAACCAAGAGGGAGGAAATGACAAGGAGTACCAAAATGGCAGTGGTAACACCAGCGATGAGGGGCGTGGAGGGTAGTTTTCCATCCGTGTTTGGGTTAAAGGGAATTGTTATAGAACCTTGAAAGAAAAAATTCTGATAAGACTTGATAGTTTTGCGGTCATGGAATTTATCTCAGTGACACCAACAGCAAAATAAGGCATAATTCGTATCCCGAAGGAACCTTGAAATGTTCTGCTTTTATATATGAGGATATCGATGTCATATGCGACTCATACATCACTCTGAAAGAACCAAATGCAGTGTACAGTATTTGGTGGCGCAATAGAATTGGTTCTACAAAAATATCATCATATTCCAGTTGGTACGTGTGCCATGATTGGTCAACTTAGCGGGACGTATTTCCCTGTTCAGCCCACTAAATTCAAACGTGTATTTGAATTGGAATTTCCACCTATGTATTTGAACCCAGAGATAAAACAAAAATCTTACTAGCCTCAATTTTTCGATCTGAACTGTAAGTTACGGAACCTCGCTTTTACCGCCACGATACATGGCCCACGCCCTTCGCGCTTGGGTCATAAATCAGAGCGAAAAAGACTTGGTCTCGTGGCTTACGGTACGGGCCTTAAACTCGGTTGATGATTATTTATTTTTGAAGAAAAAATAAAAATTATCTAATCTGTCAAAGAAAATAAAGACTTACATAAATACGGCAATCGCCATATTCATGTAGGTGGTCACTATGACGGCATTGAAAATGTCTTCATATGAGAAAGATTTATAACTAATTAAATTAATTCGAATTTTTTCTAAATTCGAGTGGGGGAACACCTTGACACAACATTACTCTATGTCACTGCGTATTTCATTTGACTTAAATACCCTCAGCAATTTCTTGTATAACTTTCATGGTAAAAACGTCAAGGAGATAAAAGATAACACAAACTCCGAATATTGTATGGAAGATTTTAAAAACTTACAATTTAAGGATCCTTCATATTTGAACAATAACACCCCGCTTCTAGCCAAGCCTCTCCGTGCGTTAGTACAAGTTATCTTGAGCCTGATTATTCTTCCTTTCAAGAAGTCTTTGCTTGTCATTTCCTCTACCTTAACGCAAGTTAACGCAACATTGTGGTTATGTTCTATCGCGCTGAGGATACCATAGAGTGCACATGCTTCTAATTCCATTTGCACGTTGGCTTATCTTTATTACGGCGTAAATGAAACACAAACTAGATTCTGTTTTTCATTTCCAACTTGTTTCAAGCAATTTTTCAATCACGTATTGGAATTATTTTGGAATTGCATTGCTTTTGCTTCATTTTGGAGCTTTGTGATGGGTCTTTAAAACTCACGCTACCCTCTCAACCAGAGAGGGTAGCTTAGGGTCTCTCACGTTTTCCAGGGCTTCGGGAAAGTTTGTTGTTTCACTCTACATTCTCATTGGCTTATTTTGAGTCTCCCTTAGTTTTAATTGGTAGTTTAGATTCGATTGGTGGAATGACTCTCAAAAAAACCCATTGACCAAACAGGAACAAGACATGTTGTTCAGTTTACGGTAATGACTATTATCATTGTCTGTTTTTCGTGAGAAAAGGATTGAAGCATGGAATACAATTAGCGGGGAGTCATACCTTGATAAAATAATTTTTATCTTTGGCTATCAATGCAAAAGGGCTTCTTTCAGGCAATACATCTTCGCTGTCACCACATTTAAAATACCTCGCGGACTCTTGGGTACAGTTGAGCTTGTTGGGATTCAGTTTTAATTTTCTTTCTTCGTTCATGTTCAACATGTGCAGTTCGTTTCTTTTATTCTCGTCCTTAAAACGGAAGAACGTACTTGTATTGCCTCCTGTTGACAGATGATCAAAGAGTGGGTAAAGAGTTCGAAATCCCTGAGTTTACCACACAAAGGTAAGTGAAGTTAAGGAGGCCTTATAGGGTTTTCTGATCGCGCGAGGTCGGGATGCGAACTTAGCAAAGCAAACATGGTGGATCGATACGATCGCACGATTGTTATCTGAATAGGTATGTTAAAAACAGTTAAACACAATACAGTTTTTATGTGATGGAATCTAAGGTTTCCAGCAACTACACCCGTAATATTCATAGGCGTTCTACTGCTGAAAAAGAGATCAACCGAAAAGAAAACACCGTGGGAAAGATTGCCTAAAGGCGATTGATTCGAAAGTTTACGCATGTTCAGACATAGATCTTGACGAAGTGCTATAATTCCATTACGTAATGATTTGCGATAAAGGAAATAGGGATCTTTCAAGAAAGATTTTTATCGCGTTTCCTTCAATGGAATGTCCTAAGATTTCCTGGACTGTTAAACATGTTTGTGCCCTTCCTAAAGCCTGTTGATAAAAAAAAATTCATAACGCCAAATTTGAGATAGAGGAAAACACAAAATTTCAAATAGCGAGGAAACTACCTTTGTAACCCCTATTTTTTCGGCTTTTAAATGATCGGAAGGAAAATTTTCACGAATCATGAAAATTTTGAGAGATTTCATCGAAGCAAATTTAAGAATTCAAATTCAAAGGCAGAGCCAAATTATCACTGGCAACTGCTCCCTTCTTGGAGCCTTAGTTTATCATTTTGATAACATTTACTACAACAAACGATAGTTCGAACCTTGCTCATTGCCTTTTGATGGCTCTAAGTGACCTCAAAAGGTGAAAACATGGAAATTTTCTCCTTTATTAACAAAAATTAAAGATGGCCTCATTAAATAAGTTTGATTTCTCGAGGTTAATTTCACTCACACTTTATCGCAGTTAGGTTGTAGTGCTTATTATTCCGCATGATTTACGCATAACACATACCATGACCATGACGAATTCCCTTGCAGAAGATATATTTCAGTGTTTACCTTTAAATTGAAAATGAAATTTTAGAGATTTTTCAGAATAATGTTTCACAACCGTCGTGGCATTTTACTCACCTAATAAAGTACGAACTTTCTCGTTCTCTCGGCAACCCCAGGTCTTGTTGTAAAAAATAAAAGTCGAAAACCTTCCGGAGCATGAACAGGTACAGCCATCGCCATAATTTGCCTCCTCAGCGTTGAATGTCTTACAATCAAACTTCTTACTACATAACGCTGAAGAAATTTTGAACGAATCTCTACCCTTCTTCCATCCGTTGTCAACAGGTCGTCTCTTCCTGGTAATTTCGAGATCCGCTGTCATTGTGAAGACTGTCTCCAAGATCGAAATAAACACTAGCAGCTGTAAATTAAACATCTACGTATTTTTGATTTTTAAGTTCCAGGCGATGTATTTCTACTTTCTGCAAGGAATAAGCCTAAAAGGCAGAAGAGTTATCTTGTTCACCAAACGACAGCGCGCTCGATCATTAAAAAAAAGGTTAAACAAAGTTATGCAGTGACAGTTGTTCACCCGACCGAAACCATTTTCTCAAGCTTAAGACTTTCTATAATTATTGGCTGATGTGATTCCTGTCAAGGTGCGAGAGTAAATACAGCTATTTCGTTTTCTTTAACCCTTTAACCCCTGACTAACATCTAATTTCTCCCTGAGGTATCACTGCTAAATCAAGCATTGGGCTTAAGAGAATTAAGGAAACGATCACAAACTTAAAATATCTTGATTTTTATCTAAATTCTTATCGTCGATGCCAAAAGAAATGTACAAGGAATAGTGTGGAGAATACACATTCTGATGTAAAGGTATAAAGGCTGAAAGAACGAAAGCACAACTTTGTATCAAACGTGGGCCAAAAAGCACGCTATGGCTTCAGTTATTGATGAATTTATTGTTTTCAATTCCGGACCGTTAGATTTTCTTTGATTTATCACTGTCTAACATTGTGTTATTACCCAGTCTTGAATACTAAACTTTATATCGATGTTTTAACCAAGTTCATATAATTCGGGGCATGAACAGGTACAGCCATCGCCATAACTTGTCTCCTCAGCGTTGAATGTCTTACTAACAAAGTTCTTACTACATAACGATGAAGAAATTTTGAACGAATCTCTCTCCTTCTTCCATACGTTGTCAACAGGTCGTCTTTTACTGGTAATTTCGAGATCTGCTGTCATTGTAAAGACTGTCTCCAAGATTGAAATAAACGCCAACAGCCGTAAGTTAAACATCTTCGTATTTCTGATTTTTAAGTTCCAGGCGGTGTATTTCTACTTTCTGCAAGGAATAAGCCTAGAAGGCAGAAGAGTTATCTTGTTCACCAAACGACAGCGCGCTCGATTATAAAAAAAAAAAGTTTAAACAAAGTTATGCAGTGACAGTTATTCACCCGACTGAAACCATTTTCTCAAGCGTAAGACTTTCTATAATTTTTGGCTGATGTGCTTCCTGTAAGAGTACAAGAGTAAATACAGCTATTTCGTTTTCTTTAACCCTTTAACCCTGAGGATGACTAACATCTAATTTCTCCCTGAGGTATCACTGCTGAATCAAGCATTGGGCTTAAGAGAATTAAGGAAACGATCACAAACTTAAAATATCTTGATTTTTATCTAAATTCTTATCGTCGGTGCCAAAAGAAATGTATAAAGGACAGTGTGGAGAATACACATTCTGATGTAAAGGTATAAAGGCTGAAAGAACGAAAGCACAACTTTGTAATAGCCGTGGGCCAAAAAGCACGCTATGGCTTCAGTTATCGATGAATTTATTGTTTTCAATTCCGGACCGTTAGATCTTCTTTGATTTACCACTGTCTAACATTGTGTTATTACCCAGTCTTGAATACTAAACTTTATATCGATATTTTAACCAAGTTCATATAATTTATCATAAAATAAAATGTTATCAAATGACAAGTACCTATTTATTACATAATGTTCCTATGCCTCGATCAGCTGCATTCGGAGTGATCAAAATCTAATGATTTTTACTCACGTGATATCCAAAGGATTGAAGTCTGATGTTATGAGAGTGGCATAGCAGTTTGTTTTAATATATGAATGTTGTGGGAAAATCCCGCCAGAGCGTTTAGGGAAACGTCTGAGAAATCAGTATATAAAATTTCCTTAGGGCTAGGGCTCTCTATCAAGTGAGACTCAACCAGCTAAATCAATCTGTTTCAAGATTGGAATAGCGCTGTTCATTCTTCAGTTTACGGAAAAAGCACTAAATTACGCTCTATGGGCATAAGTTATATTTGGTTTTCTAGGACATTTTTATGCTACTGTGATCTGAGATTTTAACCAAGTCCTTGCATCGATAGGGAGCTGCAAAGTAGTAAATAAAGAGTATTTTTCATCACATATCTTTTCCACGGCACCTCTACTTCAAGTTTCCAGATTTTCCATACGTGAAATGCAACATGTATAAAAATAGGCACCTTAAGCTTTTTGCCATTAAAAATGTAAGGTCGGCAAAGAGACAACGAGCAATATTACCCCTTTAGTTATCTTAGTTGACATTGAAGTCGAGGGCTGTTTCCTTTTGCTTTGGTTCCAATAGAAATGCCGTCTCCATAAATCTAAACTGTGACAGTAATCTAGATGTGTTGTTTAGCTTAAACTTACCTACGACGAACGTTGGTCCAATATCGGGCCTCTTTTTAATTCTAGCATCTTTTCTAACCAGCGTCAACAAGCTGATTTTTGTTTATATTTTATGATCAAGTCACTCCTCTTTCCTTTCCTCACAGTATGATAAAGTAAGCAAGTAACATAGGTATTACTGGTAGCTACGTTCGACTCATAGATGTCCACGAAATCAGATAGGATCCTATACTCCGACAATGACATTCTTACTGCTTTTTATTCAAATACGTGGCCGTTATTAGAGGCAAAAGGTCTTTCTTTTTTCCTGGAGCCAAGTTTGTTACCATCCACCAAAGCGTTTCAGATCGGATCTCTTCAAGAATATCGTAAACTAGTTCCATGCTAATGTTGAAGCCATCCGCGTTATCTGAAATATTTAGTTTAGCTTATTTTACGTTATGATGGATTGGATCTACTACAAACATGGCACTCCAATGGCGAGGGCCTTATGCATCTTCAGGAGCCTCCAAAACGTCGTACACTGGATCACCATCATTTTCAGTGACCGGTGCCTCTAACGTGTTGTAAACAGGCTCTGTTACGCCCGTTGCGGCATAAAAACTTGATTCTTTTTGCTCTGAAACGTTGCTCATAGGATGATTGCCTTTATCAATGTAGTTGTAATGTAGCCCGTCTGTAGAGTCTGACGTGATACCAAAGTAGGCGGGGCTTTGAGGCCCATCGAGACATGACCCCTCCAAAACGTTGTACACTGGTTCAGAGCCATTTTCACTATTCTCGACAGGTCCTTTTAAAGGGTCCATGACTAGTTCCTCCATGAGATCATAAACACGATGATGTACGCTTATGGGGCCATTTGTTTTAGGCATCGTATCCTGAATTACTATTTCCTGGTTGTTTCTGTGACCATAGATGTTTTCTCCTTCAGAAATATTCAAAGGAGCGTAGATATGTCCTTCGTTATGATCACTTTTTCTGGAATTCCCTATGTGTGCTCCTCCATCGCGAACTGATTCATAAACAGCTACAAGTACAAAACATTTAAGATATAATTAGTCAAAATAATTCATCTATTTTATGGTGTATGCAGAACAAGCATTGCTGTTATGGATTTTTCACTCGATCCGTCACATTCTTGTAGGATTCTTTAATCCAAAAGCCTTTTCTCGAAACATTTATGGATGACTCTCTATCTATTCGAGTACCAAGAATAATCATGAAACGCTTTGATAAAAAATAGAAGTGGTTGCTGCAGTATTCACAGATTGAGACAGACTTAATTGGCGATGAAAGATGAGTTTTACTCACCTGAATCTCTTAACGTAAGCGCTTTGTAATGATCCTCGTTATCCAGTGTATCCAGAGTAATTCCGTCCAGACTTCTCATCGCTGTTTTCTAAGACAACAAAAAACAAAAGTTGATTGAAAAACAGTAAGAAGCCAAACCGAAGTCTTTAATTTATACGTACCCTTTTCTCTTCGCTTTCCTTACCAGAGTTGGAGTTATCCCTGTCAAAAGAATTAATGGCATCCTTAAAAAATTGCATCAGTAGCCAATAATCTTCAAAGTAAGCCCAGTTTCCAGGGAGTTCCCTGGAAAATTGGGAAAGGGTGCCCTGGGAACGAGGTCGATTTGGACGTGCGCTAGAAAACCTGGCCACGGTATATCAACTCGAGGCTCACTCAGTGATAAACCTCTAAAAAGGTGAACCTACTAACCCTGAATATCTCTGTCGATAGACCAGGACGGCAATAATGATAAGAATAACCAAGATGGCGACGGTAACACCTGCGATGAGGGCCACGGGGGATGATTTTCCTTTTGTTACTCGTTCGTGGCCAGGATCGTGACGGGCGACGACAGGATCCTATAGACGATAGCACAATATGTTACTGTTTCTCTCCTGTGAAGTTTTAGTCGCACGTACAAAAGAAAGCCTACTGTCTATCGTGTTTAATGATCAAATACACTCTTACTTTAAATGGTGAATCTGATGTCGTCGGTCGCTTTGCTAATGTAGTTGGGGAGGCTTTCCCAACAGCGATGGTTGTGGGCAGTGTAGACGATGGTGTCCTTGACAGATCAGTAACCACAGATGAGGTAAAAGGAATAGTCGGAGGAACTTGGGAAGTCGATGATGAACCTTGGGCGACAGTTGAAGTTGCATGTTGTCTTGGAGATGAAAGAGAAGATGCACCCAAAGGCTTTGTTGTGGCTATGGGCTGTAACGTTGATGTTGATATGGTACCTTTAAGATAAATATGTTAAGGTCATGGATATTTTCAAGCGTGGAAGCGATATGACATCATTGTATTTACCACAAAGGCGCTTTTAATAGGAGAAGGCCTTATTGGTTTCTCATCAAAGTTATGTGAAGTGGTAAAGAAATATCCGAATCAGATAATGACTCCACTGCTTGCAAATTAAGCTAAGGCAATTTCCAACACACTGAGATAAACCTTGGTCCTTTTGGGAGAAAATTTATTTTCTTTCAAGTGACGAAAAACGTTAGGACATGAATATTTGTGAATAGAATAAAAAAACACCTACATTCAATAACAATCTATATAATACGCAGTTTTTACCTGGCCTTAGCACATTCTGAAATTTCTGGTTTAGGTTTTCGAGTTAAAGGTAATACTTTTGTAAAGTAAAAGAGGATAAAAAAATCTTATAAAGTACGGGAGATA